TGAATTATTTTTTAACATATGTATTTTTGGAGAACAGAGAAAGTGAAATGTATGCTTTGATTTTATATAATTTGGTTTTTGTTTTGTTGTTAGGTTAAGACAACGAATCCGAAAAAGTATTGCGTTCGTCCCAATATCGGGATTGTTTTGCCTCGGTCCACTTGTGATGTTATAGGTATTCTTTAGTTGTATATCTCAATTTCCTTTTAATTTTAGCAATAGCCGCATAATCTGAAGAACAGTGTATTACTGTATTTATTGATACCCTTTTACTTTATTCTATGTTACCAATAAAAAAATGCTTTATTTTATAAATAGAAAGTGACAGGATATATCTGCAATTTTTTAAGTAGTGTAATTGTATGAATACACTAGTTGCTAGTTTCTATTTTTGGGTCGACATTTTTACGATTGACTTTTTTTTTTTTTTTTTTGGTATTAGAATGGATTTTGTTTGGTCATTTATGTTAAAGTTTGTATCATTTTAGTGACTATGCAAGCGCAGAAGGAGATGCCTCCAAACCTGCAATGCAAGGATAAGTTTTTAGTTCAGAGTGTAGTTGCAACTTCTGGTGCAACTCCGAAAGATATTACTGGAGAAATGGTAATCAATGAGCAATTTATTTGTTTTAACGGTTTAATTTAAAGGTTTCAAAATGGCAGCCTTTTGGTACTGTTTTGCTTTCCTAGGGGTGTTTGTATTTAGTGAAATGTTGAATCCTGAGTTAACTATAGGAAGAGTAAATAGTCGATCACATAGAGTTATGCCATTAGACTTTGAATTGCTATTTACTGAAGGTTGTTATATCTGTAGTTTAATAAGGAGGCTGGAAGGGTAGTTGAAGAATGCAAGTTAAAAGTTACTTATGTTCCCCCACCCCAACCACCTTCTCCGGTTGCTGAGGAATCAGAAGCAGATTTGTTAACAGAGAATGGCAATACGAATGGTTCCGAGGTTTCTCCTTGATTCTCTGAGTTTCAATCTATCTGCTTCCTTCTTAACTATCATACATATTACTTGTACTTGTTACGGAGTATTTTATTTTAGCATGTATAGAAATAGAAACTGATAGCATCAGATTTGTTGCTTTCAGGTTACAAGATCATTTAATGATACTCATGACAGTTCTTCAGAGGTGAAGTTGCTCTCTAAGCCCAGTTCTGAGTATATTATTGTGGCTGTTGCTTATATGCATACTTGGTCTGGAGATGTGCTGCGATAGCAATTGGCGCTTCATAATCTAGTCATCTTTCATCTGAAATGAATTGAATCATATTCATCTTCTTCTTTTTTTTTTTTTTTTTTTTTTACCTACCACTGGTATTACCGTATTAATGGTTCAAATCCTTGTAATAAGCTTACCTCACGGCTCACCTAGGAAGTGCATTTGTCAAGAATGTAGTACTTATGTCAAATTCACTGTGAGATACTAGATGCTTTAAGTCAGGCATGGCAGGACACATGACTTAACCTACTGCCAAATTAGACCATCTTGAAGAGCATTGTGGTCACTTTTTACGTTCAGTGAAGATTTTGTTTTTGCTCGGACTATCTTGCCTCAGTGCAAAATGCCCCTTGTTTTCTTATGGGAATATTGCATATTCATTTCATAGATATAGTAATTAGTACTTGTGTGTATCTACATAATGATGTTAGGCATGTTTAATTTGACTGTGCCCGTTCTTTCTCTGTTTTAGTTGTCTGCTTTATGATTCCAGTTTACTTCTAGAAGATTAAACGATGCAGGGTGACTTCTTTGTCTTTCATACAGCAAGTTTTCTTGCATAAACTATTCTCTGATTCTTTAGCTATTGATATCTTGAATTTACACCGTGATTGATTTTCAGATTGATCAGTGAACTTTTTATAATTTTCAATTTTCAGGCAAGACCGCTCACTTCAAATCTGACTGAAGAAAAGGCTGCAGCAGTGCAACAAAGTGACACACATTGTCAAAAACTGGTTAGGCATTTACGTATTTCTATATGCAGTTTTTGGGTATAACATTTACCTTCTGTGTTTGCATCTAACTGTCAACTAATACTGAAAAGTTTATAAATTGAAACACTCAACAAGCCCTACTTTTTTTGGATGACAAGGGAGAAACCCCACAATCCTTTGGGGTGTAGGTAAACCCCGTATTGTGACTCTAGCCGGCAAAGGACTATAAGGAAGTAAACCAGCCTAGGTTACTTATAGCTGACCGGCTCAAACCAAGGGGGCAAGGATTCGAACTCGTGACCTTGTGGTTACAAGTGTGGATTTCTTGCCATCTTGGCTGGGGTTAACCCCACAAGCCCTACTTTCTATTACTTGTGGGAGGGGTCGTTTTCCTACTGTGTAGATTTCAATTGAAGCATGTACTCCATCTCAAGCAACACGTGGACCGTAGTGAGATTCGATGGTCTGACTCTGATACCAAATTGAAGTATGTGCTCTATCTCAACTAAAAGCCTAAGCTGATAGTTGGATTGCACATGAATGGTTATATGCTCAACAATTTCAATTGGATAACTGAATATCACTGTGTGTAGGAACTCACGAAGCAGGATGCCAACAAACATGGTTTTGGTAGCGCTTCCATCATGTTTGTCATCGGCGTTGGCTTGCTAAGTTTAGTTGTGGGTTACTTCCTCAGAAGCTCATAAGCGCACAGAAGTTCAGCTGTGTCTACTTCCTCCACCACAGTACTGACAATTACTTCATGCATGTTCTTCATGGATGACAAGAAGAGGATAAGAAAGATACCTTAAAGCTTTGCTGACATTGTCCGAGTTAGCCGAGCTCTACAGTGTAGGAACTTGTTTACCAATGGTGATAGTTCATGTTAGGGCATTTTGTTGTGAGATTCTTAATTCTTTTAGCATGTATTATTTTTATTTTGTATAATTCATTTATATTTCATCATTCTATATATAAATATGTTTTATGGCTCAAAATGGGGCAGTGACAATAAGAAATCTGCGCAAGACTCCCATTCCTTTTAAGTCTAGTTCTCGTTGATATGATGATTTGATCATTTGATTAAAACATTATTTAAGATAAGACTAATAATCATGATTGTATCATTAACAAAATTATTTTTTGATTTTAATTTTATAAAATAAAAAGTTTCTAGATACAATAATTTAGAATTCTATATTTATATTATATACAAAAAATTTAAAAAAGTTAAAAAACTAGTTCGCTGCAGTCCTGCCTATTAGGATATATAATTTCTATTTGAGTTTGTGTAATATTTGTTGGTGCTTATGGCATTGTTTGGTATTGGTGGATACACTAAAATTTGACAAATTTAATAATGATCCGTGATTTAAAGCACGCCAAAGAAAACCTTTTTATTTGTGGGATTAAGAGACAAAGCGGATTTAATTTTATACGCAGGCTCTCCTTTGTCGACAAAGAGGAGCTTGCAAGGATCTTTTGATCCCACATTGACATTGAGCTCAACGCCTCTCTTTTAGTGTCCTTCCCATATGATGCTCCAACATTGGATGGGCAAAATGGAAGAGAAACCTTAGGCTCCCTCCGAATAACAATAATTTATTTATTTTTAAACATTTTTTGGAAATGTCATTTTTGAAAAAGAAGAAACATTACTTATAGTAGTTAGGGTGTTAGTGAATATAGTTTTTGTAAACTATTCGTGTTTGTGTTCGTTTATTAAGGTATACGAACATAAATGAACAAATTTTAGAGTTCGTTTAATAAACGAACAAAGTCTGAATAATTGTAAGTTTGTTTGCTAAAAGCTCGTGAACAAGCTTGTTAGTGTTCGTTTAACAATGTTCATGATCAGACTCATTCAGTGTTTGTTTAATAATGTTCACGGACATGTTCGTTTAAGATTGTTCACGAACAAGTTCATTTAAATACAACTTATTTTATTTTATTTTATTTAGTTTTAATATATAATAGTATACTACTTTAAGGTTTTTGGGATGCTGGATGCGGAATTTAAATATATTATGTTTTAATTTTTTATGTTTTTGGTTTGTAAACTGAACAAACAATTTGTGTGTTTGTGTTTGTTGTTTTTTTTTTTTTTTTTTTTTGGATTTGGTATTTTAACTTCAATATTAGATATTACTTTTGGACTTATTTGTATTATTTTTTATAGTCGTTATGTTGTTTGTTTGGTTATTGTTTGTAAACATAGGCCATTTCTTGTTCACAAATAAATTATGATCATGAACATATACGAAAAACCTCTGTTCGTTAATAACTCTAACAGTAGATGATGGGATATGCACCCCGGAGACAGGACGGTGATGGCGAGTGGTTGACGGGTGATGGAGGTTACCATTGGAGAAGAAGAAGGGATATCATTGCTAGGGCCTAAGGTGATTAATGCTGACATTGCTAGAATCATCAACTCCGAAGCAAGTCATTTCCATTGATAAGAGCCGACTCTCGAGACTCAGGTAAAAGAAGCGTCCGAGACCGAGTGTCATGAGGAGTCAGCGACGAGTGGTCGAATGAAGAGGAGTCCTTAGAGTACCTCTGAGAGCAATTAATGCGGAGTTAGAATAACCATTAAAAGGCAGATTATGGGAGGGAGTAATGGCTAAAACAAGAGTTAATATCAAACCTCTGTTTACATATTTTCCGGTTGTGTTAAACCCCCTTAAGCTTCTCAAAAGTTTAGAAATCAACAATGGAACATTAATTTTAGCAGTTTGTTTTAGTCAAAATGAAAAAAAAAAATTAAATTTATCAAATTATTTTGACGAATCTGTCAATAACCAAACAATGTATTTAATATATATATATATATATATATATATATATATATATATATATATATATATATTAAATTGTAACAATTTTTTTTTTTTGATTAAGAGAATATTAGTAATTGGTTTGTTTGATTTTTTAAATTTATTTTTAAAGCAATTAATTATTAATGTTAAAGCATCTAGAAACGTCTACGTGTATCCAGTATCCCAATTCCGGAACATTCCACACTCTTCACTCTCTGGAATCTCCACAACCTCTTTCCCCTTCTCCAAGCCACTACCAATATTTTCAGCTCACCGCCTTCATTGCACTGCACTATATATATGCAAGCAGCCATAATCTTTCAGAACCACAGAGAGAATCCGAAACAAACCGAGCGAGTTGACTCACCTGCGCATTCACAAAGCTATGGCTTCCTTATTGGCACTCAGGAGAGCCACAACCGCCTCCTCAGCTCTGTTCAACAGACTCGTCAACCCTGTCCGCCACGCCTCCGCCGCTCCCTCTGTTTTCCGATCATTCAACACTAACACGCAGATGAAGGAATATGACGACGATGATCGCGCTGTCGACTTCGATCGCCGCTCTGATCGTTCCATTTCTCGCCGTCGTGACGCGTTTCCTAGCTTCTTTTCAGGTAACTCTTCGTTTCGTTCTCCGCTTAAATTCCGAAATTCCTCCGTAGTTGAATTTGATTATATGTGTTTATAGATTTCGATTTCATTTTTTCGTTTGGAAATTGAGGTTTTGGACTTTCAATCGATACGATTTATTTGCTCGATCGTGTAGATGTGTTGGATCCATTGTCGCCGCCGAGGAGCGTGAGCCAGCTGCTGAACATGATGGACCAATTCATGGACAATCCGTTCGCCTGGAAGTCTCGCGGGTTGAGTCCCTACACCGTGAGGGAGGACGACGACGTCCTCTCCATCAAGATGGACATGCCGGGACTGGACAAGGACAATGTCAAGATAAGGGTGGAGCAGAACACGCTGGTGATCAAAGGCGAAGCGGAGGCGGAGGAGAAGGAAGACGACGCGGATCAATACGCACGGCGGAGGTACTCCACGAGGCTGGAGATTCCACCGAATCTGTACAAGCTTGACGCGATCAAGGCCGAGATGAAGAACGGAGTGTTGAAGGTGGCGATTCCGAAGGTGAAGGAGGAAGAAAGGAAGGATGGTTTTCAAGTTAACATTGATTGAGTGGTTTGGTTCCCTTTGTGAATAGGAAGAGTGTTGAAGTGTTGAACAAATGCTTCATTCCGCCATGAGAATGTAACAGTTCTAAGCTTTTTCGCTTCAAGCATTGATCTCTCTCAGTGGCTTTTCCTATCTATAAATAAAATGTTAATTTTAGTGGATAATGATAATTTAATTAGGAGGTAACAAAGCAATATGATGAATTGAATAGTGATAGCTTTTAATTCATTACAAACTCGGTAATTGGTTCACTACAAACTCTGTAATTCCTCAATTACGGAATTATATTCAGAAGGCCTTGGCCTGCAAAATGTCTCATTGAGACTAATATACAAATAATGAAATTAATACACATACGTAGTAAATAATACTCCATTAAGACAAGTGGTTCACGAAGTGTTCTAAATACCATCGAAGATCTTCCGAGTATAGTGATTTTGTCACGCTTAATTCTAAATTTATAATTAATACCATCCAAGATCTTCCAAGTATAGTGATTTTGTCACGTTTAATTCTAAATTTTTAAATTGACCATCTATGGTTCTCGATTTTCAAATTTAATTATCATGATCCAAGTTGACCATGGGTGGTCGTGGTCCTCTTGAAAGGACCATGTGTGGTTAAAATTTAATAGTTGAAGGACAATGGATAGTTCACTTGGACCACGAATGATTAAATTTGAAAGTTGAAAGTTTAGGACTAACTATGAATAGTGAACCATGAATGGTTAAATTTGAAATTGAAAGTTTAGGACTAAATGTGACAAAATCGCTATACTTGGAAGACCTCGGATGGTATTAAATCTAAATAAATATATATGGTTACATTAACTGCTACTGTAGAATTAATTTAATCTGGGCATTAAATTGCTTGGCAGCATTAGATTTGTCTCCGGGCAGCAGCGAACTAATCTGAAAAAAAAAAAAAAAAAACATAATCAATACCCTAGAAAAGCATAATCTTTACAAGCTGCTGCTCCTGGTTGGCTGGTTCAAAACAAGAGGATGTCAATGACGAGCATAAAGATATTGGGGAGTATGAAGCTGAAACTACCGATCCAGTGCATTGTTTGTCTGGTCATTTTGTCTTTCCACCGAGTCAGCATGAGAATTTGCCACTGGAACAAGAAAACAATTAAATTCTTAACTGCCCGGAGGTGGTTAAAGATGCTGAATATTAATATGTCTCCGTGGAAGGTAGTATGGCAGACGTGAAGAATGGAAGCATTAACTGCCCGGAGTCCGGAGACTACTGTCATATTGAGATTCCAAATAGGGAATGTTTGAAATGGGATACTGAAATAGGAAAAAGTAGTTCGCCTAAGGCGTGTTTAGTTTTTTCCGTTAAACTAAACACGCACTATATAAGGGCGTGTTGGCTTATTTTTTAAAAAAGGAATAAGGGTCAAATAGACCACTGAACTGCACACCAAACTACAATTAGACCATCAAACTCAAAAAAGATGCAATTAGGTCCTTGAACTACACAAATTTATGCAATTAGGTCTAAAATGACCTGTTTACCTGCTACGTAAGTTGGAAATTTTTAAAATAATTTTAAACAAAAAATTAAATAATTAAAAAAAAAAAAACAGAACGGCCGGAGACGAAATCGTCTATGACCGTCCTTCGTCTCCATGGCAAGAGACGAAGACCTTCGTCTTCAGCCATGGAGACGATATTCGTCTCCTGCCATGGAGACGAAGACCTTCGTCTCCATGGCCAGGAGACGAAGGTCGCTTCCTCTCCCTGGCCGAAGAGACGAAGAGACCTTCGTCTCTCCAGCCAGGGAGACGAAGAGACCTTCGTCTCCTGGCTATGGAGACGAAGGTCCTCGTCTCCAGGCCATGGAGACGAAGGTCTTCGTGGCAGGAGACGAAGGACGGCCGGAGACGATTTTGTCTCCGGCCGTTCTGTTTTTTTTTTTTTTTTTTTTTTTTTTTTTGTAAATTTTTAATTTTTAATTAATTTTTTGTTTAAAATAATTTTAAAAATAATTTTTAAAATCCGCAACCTCCACGTCAGCAGAGTATTAGGTAAATAGGTCATTTTAGACCTAATTGTATGAATTTGTGTAGTTTAGGGACCCAATTGTTGTTTTTTTGAGTTCGATGGCCTAATTGCAATGTGGTGTACAGTTCAGTTGCCTATTTGACCCTTATTCCTTTAAAAAAATTAAAAATTACGTATGCTCCTTTCGTATTTGTGTTTCTTACTACAATCATTATTAAGTGAAATTATACTACCTCTGTTCCATTTTATGTGTCTTGGTTCGGTTAACGAGGCTTGACTGAAGTTATTTTTAATCTAATTTTTCATAATATTAAGTTTAATATTCGTATACAAATTTATATATTTAGAAACTACACTAAAAGCACTATTAAACACAAAAAGTTAAATTTAAAAATAAGTAAAAAATACCAAAGAAAATAAACAAACAAGAAAGAGTTAGTTTGACTCCATGAATAGTAAGTAGGACATATAAAATGGGACAGAGAGAGTAGTAATTATTTATGATAGTAATGATTAAAGTAAAAATATTATTGTTAATGGCCATTATCCTATTTTCTAAGATCATGGATAGTGTACGGTTTTATCATGTTGTATCATAGTGTACTCAATGTGCTAACATCAATCATCTTGTATCCCATCAATCCATGATTATATTAGGCACATAGTCTGGTTGACTAACAACTTCTAGTTATTCAGTCCAACCAGACTACTTAATAAGCCTAGTCAACTTACACCACTTAATTAAGGTCCTAATATATAATATATATTATTAGCAAAAATCTTACATTCTCCCACTTGGTGCAAGTACTAGCACAACCTTCACCAAAGAACAAAACACACGAATCATAGTGACATGTCCTCTATTTAATTAGAGTAGTATCCATTATGGTCACATGCATTTTAATTCTCCAACTTAGGTCCTTTATGAACAAACCCTATGTTTATTCTTGGTACCTTAAGGGATGTTTCTCAAAATAATATATGTGCACAACTGAAAGAGAAAAATCATCCAAATTGTACAAAAGAGTACACTGTATGATCTCTAAAACTTTAGAAGCATGCCTTAAGTAGAGATCTCTTAATGTTAGCATAATGCTAACTATATTCTATGACTTCTTTATAAGTTAACTTTAAGTACTATCTCTAACAGCTAAGAGCTTGGAGTTGACACGTCTGTCACTCCACTCATCAAAAATAGCCAAAAGATAGTCAAGTCACAAAAGCATTCCAATAACTTAGACAATAAACCAAAGGTCTAAGTCCATAAATTTGGAATCTTAAACATACACCATAACTTTCCAAATAACTTCAATGTTCATTTTAAATGAACCGAACATAACGGGTCTTACTTATATGCCCCACAAAATTGTCTTAAACCTTACAAACCAAAATGGCCAATATCAATTTTGAAGAAACTAGAGACTCTATTAATCACTGAAGAATTTATTAGATGACAGTGCACCACAAGTTAAATGCTTTTGTTCTAATAAATTCCTTAATATTGTTACAACATTTTCATAAATATGTTGCACAACCAAATGTTCAATAATTTGAACTTATGAATTTATATGAACAAATACAAGATTAATACTTGTGGAATATTTTGGACTTATTGTCTGACATACAATCCAATTTGAAATGTATGAAGCCAATTAAATCCATAAACTTTAGTGGAGTATCTTAATGATCTTTTTCTAAATGATCACTCCCACTGATTAAGATATTCTTTAGCGAAATTAAAAAAAAGTGAACTTAATAGTATACATACTCATAATTGATTTATTGACCAACTAACAAATGAAGACATAATTTCCCACCATTAGTTGAAAATACTAAATAATCAATTTTTGGTTCCAATTAAAGTCCAACTAAATAATGAAGATATAATTCCCCACCATAGTTGGACATACAAAAAAAAATAAAATACACCTTTCAAAACCAAGTTAGAATTTGGCTCAAAAGATACATTTTATTATTAATGGAATCCAAAAGAGATATGTCGAATCACGTAACTTACTAAAGTTAGTCCGAAGAACCGAGCAAGATTCGTGGATCAATTAGTAAAAGTGTCTAAATTTTGGGAAGTGACTGAAAAATCATCATGTTTTGCCAATGCAAACCATGAAACTTAGAATTATAATTGAACTGGATTTATAACTCTAAGAAATTGTGATAAAATTATCATCTAATGGGTGGTGGATTTATTGACATAAAACTTGCATGTGGGCTAAAGTTTTAATTCTATTAAATCCAATTAAGAAACCCTTATGATAATATTTTTCACAATTTCTAAAGAGCTAGAAAAATCTAGTGACATAAAACTTGCCTATGAGCTAAAGTTTTACTCAATTTGATCCAACTAAAAAAAATTTATTTATGATAAAACAGTTATCAAATGAGTTGAAGAATCAAGTGACATAAAAACTTGCTTGTAGGCTAAAGTTTTATTCAATAAGATTCATTACAACCATTATGATAAAAAACTTAAGAGATCATTTTCCTTTTCTTAATCCCTGTGGGCAAATTAAGAAATATGATCTAAAGTTTACATCATAAAAATAAACTTCATGATAGAATTGGAAATTATTTACAAATTAAATAATCATAAAGTAAATAAATTAATTTATTTCTATCATCACTGATAAAACTACTAAACTACATTCCGATACATAATTGCCTGTGGGCTAAATTATGACCGTAGTCCAGTATTTCATCCTAATTAATCATACAAATATAACGAAATTGCATGTGGGTTAGATTCCATCATATTACATACAATTAACTACAAATGATATGCCCAAAACTTTATGTGATCAAAATAAACCGCTTAATATATAATTTTAAGTGATTAAGGATGTTGTGGCTACTCCCAAACCAAATTAAAATTATAAGATCACTAGACAATTATCAATTCATTGCCTAAACTTTATGTGATTGAAACTTAACAATCTTAGGTAGATGAATATGCTGTAGCATTTCCTTAATTAACCAAGATTGAGAACTTAAGAGACTTCAGTAAATTAAAGATGCTATGACCATTCTTTAATGAACCGAAATCAAATCACATTGGCAAGGAATACTGATGTTATCACATCTTAG